AATGAAGGCGTTTTGGGGGTTTTCACCTCTAGAGATCTTGGTCGACGTCAGGGACTTCTGACGGCTGTACAGATGATTCAGGGCCGTGTATGGTCTTGAGCTCACGAAGAGCTCCCTGGGGCGTCTCTGCCCTCTTCATGATTTTCCGATATTTTTCTTTGAGCTCGTGAGACAGGAAGTTCCACGCGTGGAATGCGAGCTCTACTTGCTTGCTCCGGTACTGCTGTGACGGCGAAAACTTGCTCTTTCCGCTGTTGACGGGGATCTCCACGCTCCCGCTCTCTTCAAATTGTTCCAACAGGTTTGCGCCATTAGCTGCCATGCGGAAATCATTTCGCCATTCGTTGAAGAGAAGTGTACCGCACACTTTGGTACCCCATCGCTGGGGTTGTGGCTCTGTATCCAAAGCCAACAGCAGCACCACCATCTCCCATGGCACTAATATTATCTTGGTTGTGAGCAGCGGCTACTCTCACCTCTTGGGGGACAAAGCCCTCTGCTTCGCCGCTGTGTCGCCCTGGGCCAGACTCTCGAACAGGTTCGCGCAGGTACCTCCTATCCTGCGCACTCCCGGCGCACGGTGCCCCTCCTTCGGCGTTCGTGGACTCCGCGGCGGCGCTCTCCCTAGCATCGCCGCGATCAGGGGAACCCTCCATGGTGCCAGCTGGCTCCTCCTCCTTGCTTGCCTTCATGGTATCTTCCACTACACATAAGNTCTCACCTCTTGGGGGACAAAGCCCTCTGCTTCGCCGCTGTGTCGCCCTGGGCCAGACTCTCGAACAGGTTCGCGCAGGTACCTCCTATCCTGCGCACTCCCGGCGCACGGTGCCCCTCCTTCGGCGTTCGTGGACTCCGCGGCGGCGCTCTCCCTAGCATCGCCGCGATCAGGGGAACCCTCCATGGTGCCAGCTGGCTCCTCCTCCTTGCTTGCCTTCATGGTATCTTCCACTACACATAAGCTGGCTCATCTGATCCGCCAGCGAGCTAACTTGCGTCCTCAGGGCCACGAGCTCTTCTTTTTACCTCTTTCTGTCTTCCGTCGCAGGGTCACTGGAGGAGTCACCCCCATCTTTGCCACCTGACATTCCTATGGACTCTCCCTCGAGGGACTGACACGAGTGTGTTCGTATATATCCTTTACTTGAAAGGGAAGGCGTTTCATCTCTTGTATTTCACACGCAAGGGGAGCAAGGAGAAGAGAAACCCTCGGCTCAGGGCCCATAGGTAGGGCTAGGCGGGGACGTATTATATAAATTTTCGCGC